CCAAATAGCTGGGAATATAGGTGCATGCCATCAAGCCAGGCTTATTTTGTGTTTTTAGTAAAGATGGGTTTTCGCCCATGTTAGCCAGGCTAGTCTCAAACTCCTGACCTCATGTGATCTGCTCACCTCAGCCTCCCAAAGTGCTGGGATTATTGATGTGAGTGACTGCACCTGGCCTTCAACAACTTATTACCAAGCCGAGGATGAAGAAGACAACCTTAACAGCTCTCTGTCCCTTACTGCCCTCATCCTCCCCTTATACATTCCATCAGATCTTACAGATCCTTCTTTTAAATCTCTCAGATCATCCACTTGCATATCTGTTGCTCACATGACATCCTCACATGGAGTTACAGCAGACATCTCAAACTCAACATGTCCAAAAGAATACTAATTTCTGCTCCCTCTTAAACCTATTCCTGCTGCTGTCTTCTGCTTCTCAGTGAACCAACCCTTCAGCAGATCTTTTTTTATTTTTATTTTTGAGACAGGGTCTCTCTTTAGTGCCCACGCTGGAGTGCAATGGTGCGATCATGGCTCACTGCAATGTCTACCTCCTGGTCTCAAGTGATCTTCCTGCCTCAGGCTCCAGAATAGCTGGGACTACCTACAGGTGTGTGCCACCACACCAGCTAATTTTTGTACTTTTTGTAGAGACAGAGTCTTGCTATGTTGCCGAGGCTGGTCTTGAACTCCTGAGCTCAAGTGGTCCATCTGCCTAGGCCTCCCAAAGTGCTGAGATTATAGGTGTGAGCCACGGTGTTCAGCCAGCAAATCTTGACTACTTCTTAACCTCTCCATTACTTCACCATAATCTCTTGCCTGGATTAGTTCAGTAGCTCCTGATTTCCGTCCTTCTGTCTTTACCTCCTGGAGTCAATTCTCAACATAGTAGCCAGAGTAATCTTTTTTTTTTTTTTTTAAATAGAGACGGGGTTTCACCATGTTGGCCAGGATGGTCTCTATCTCTTGACCTCGTGATCCGCCCGCCTCAGTCTCCCAAAGTGCTGGGATTACAGGTGTGAGCCACCGTGCCTGGCCCAGGGTAATCTTTTTTGTGGCATGATCTTAGCTCTTTGTATCCTCTGTCTCCCAGGTTCAAGGGATTCTCCTGCCTCAGCCTCCCTAGTAGCTGGGATTACAGGTGTGTGCCACCACACCCAGCTGATTTTTGTATCTTCAGTAAAGACTGGGTTTTGCCATGTTTGCCAGGCTGTTCTCAAATCCTGGCCTCAAATGATCTGCTCACCTTGGCCTCCCAGAGTGCTGACATTACAGGTATGAGCCGCTGCACTGGGCCCGGCCAGTTTTTAAAAAATCTAAGTCAGAAAATGTCACTCCTCTGCTCCAAATCTTCCAGTGCCTTCTCAATTCAACCAGAATAAAGGTGAAAGTTTTAGAATTCCCTCCGAGGCCCTGCAAAGTTTGGCCTCTGTATAATTTTCTAGCCTCTTCTTCTCCCACTTGGCTGCACCCACATGGCTTCCCTGGTGCTCCTCAAAGATGCCTGGTGTGTTTCTCCTTAACTCCCCCACCCTTTGCAGGTGCTCTTAAGTTTGCCTGGCCCATCTTCCCCAAGATAGCCCTATGGCACACTTCTTCCTGTAGTTGAGACCCTTTGTTCAAATGTCACCTATGCTGTGAGGCCTTCCCTGACTTCTCTATTTAAAAATGCACCCTTTCCTCCAGCCCCACTATCCCTCCTCTCTGTTTCTTCATAGCATGGGTCTTTATGTGTGATATATCCTCCTTTTGAAAATTATTATCTGGCCCGGCGCGGTAGGTCACGCCTATAATCCCAGCACTTTGGGAGGCTGAGGTGGGCCGATCACCTGAGGTCAGGAGTTCAAGACCAGCTTAGCCAACATGGTGAAACCCCATCTCTACTAAAAATACAAAAATTAGCTGGGCATGGTGGCAACCCACAGCTACTCAGGAGGTTGGGGCAGGAGAATTGCTTGAACCTGGGAGGCAGAGGTTGCAGCATCGCCTACACCAACCTAGGCAACAAGAGTGAATCTCTGTCTCAAAAAAAAAAAAAAAAAATTGCCGGGTGTGGTGGCTCATGCCTGTAATCCCAGCACTTTGGGAGGCCAAGGCAGGTGGATCACCTGAGGTCAGGAGTTTGAGACCAGCTTGACCAACATGGAGAAAACCCATCTCTATTAAAAATACAAAATTAGCTGGGCATGGTGGTGCATGCCTGTAATCCCAGCTACTCAGGAGGCTGAGGCAGGAGAACGCCTTGAAACTTAGAGGCAGAGGTTCAAGCTGCACACCATTGCACTCCAGCCTGGGCAACAAGAGCAAAACTCTATCTCAAAAACAACAACAACAACAAAACGAAAATTATTATCTGTCGCCAATCATTAAAATATAAGATCTGTGAAAAAGAAGGTATTTTCTTTAATGCTATATCCCTGGTGCCTAGAATGGGATCTAGCACACAGTAGATGCCCAATAAATATTTGTTGAATCAATAAATGGATCCCATTCCCTCCGTCCCTACTGCTTCTACCCCGATGAAGGCATCACTGGTCACCTTGCCTTCATTCTTCCTCCCTTTCAAAACATTTTCCATCCAGCAGTCAAGGAGATGGTCCTAAAATGAAAGCTTGATGTCTTAAACCATATATTGCAGGCAATTTGCACTCTAGTTCCCAAGCAGAATTTTAAGGCTTCTACCCTTGTTCTGACTGCCTGGAGAGCTTATGAAAGTAAAGCTTTCTCTTGTTATACTCAACTCATCCTTAAGCATCCTTTAGGTTGTAGCTTAGATGTTGCTTCTTCAGGGAGCCTTTTTTAATCTCCCAGATTGGGTTAGGCACCTGTCTGAAGTCACCCTGATAAGTGGTGGAGCTGGGGTAGGACAGGAAGCAGCTTACTGCCTTCCTCTTTGACGGTTTTGCGTCCCACTATATAACAGAGTGCCTGCACACACTTGTTGAAAGAACAATGGAACGTTTTCTAGTTGGTTCCCACAGTGTTATTGTAGAGGCTTGACAATGCATGGTTGGCCTTCCTCTGTCTTGTAAAGGTTGAGACCCAAAAACTCCATTCTGTATCCTTCCAGGGCTCTCATGGTACTGAGATGGGGTGTGGGGTTGGGTGGGTGAAACTGGAAAAACAAGGAACAGGGTCTCTCTCCTCAGTTCTCTGGCCCCAATAAGACCACTACTTCCATCATAGCCCCTCAAAGTCTCCCTCGCCCTTCAGGTTGCTTGGAGAGCCATGCCCATTCAAGCCATGGACACCCACCAGCAGTCAGCTGCTTCTCCCCCAAGCTGCCCTCAGCTCTCTCCCAGACTTCCTGGCAATAAGGAGGAAAGGAGGGGATGGGTCAGTCCTACCATGCCCTGTGGAGGGGGCTGGAGATGTCTGCCCCTCAGGGCACATCCAGACCTGCCCCTGCAGGCTGGCTTCCCCATTCTCCTGCCCAGCAAATCACCCCACTCTGGCCTCCCCACCACCAACATCCTTGAAGCCTGCCTTGGCCTCAGTGCCTGGCAGGCTGGGTTGAATCACTTGTAGCTTGCATTCTTCTTCTGGTCAGGCCAGTTTGGCAAATCTCTCAGGTTCCCCAGCCCCCCTGAAGCCTGTGTGACTCCCTCCCCAGGGCCCCCAGCATCCCCAGATGAGGCAAAGCAGGCGCCTCATCTGTGGGAGGAAAGTTCACAGGACTTTCTGGAGGAGACATTAAAGATGGCACAGTAGATCTCTCCCCTCCCCAATTCTAGGGCTGGGGTCTCTAGGCCCAGGAGCCCTTCTCTTTCCAGAAACAGCCTCAGCCTGGTGTTGTCTCGCAGAACCACCTAAGCAGAGGATCTTGCTATTCTGCATTCTCTGGGGCAAGCACTTCACCCTGACCCTGAGTCCTTGTGGGCTAAAGTCAGATGAGGAGGAGGATACCTCCTCCAATCCCCAGTCTCCAGGGAGAAAAGTGAACAGCGTGGTCTAGGTCACCCTGGGGTTGTCAGCCTGACTTCATACCCTCCCCACCTCCTTGTTCTCACCACCAGAGGGACTGAGGACCCCAGACAAAACCTGCTGCACTGCTCAGTTCAAGAGTTTAGTGAGGCTGCAGGGGAAGGAGTGTGGACCCCTCAGCAAAGGTCCCCCACATGGCTAGATCTCACAGAAGGGACAGGAGGTAAAAGCCCCCTCATAGGAGCTGACACCCCCTCTCTGTTGCTTATGATGTCCTAGAACCTCTGCCCCAGCCCCAGCCGAATCCCTGCCACTCCCCAGGACAGAAAACCAGAAGGGAATGAATGTGTGAGGGCCGGGGTGCTCACAGGTTCCAAGAACTCTCTGGGTGCAGCCCTCATCCTGCCTGCCAGGCTAGTGCCTTCTCCCCCAGCACAGCGCCTCCCCGCACCGGGCATTGGGCTTTTTGCTGCCTCCCGGCCATGGAGAGGCAGGAGCTGGGCTGGAAGGAAGATATATCCACTACCTCTCTCTGCTCCTAGCCCAGTGGAGTTGCTAAGGCGGGTGGGCTGGTCTCTGTGTCACTCAGTGGGTGCCGCTGCTTCTGAATGGCCCTTCTATCTGGATCCTGCCCCTGGGCCCTAGATTAGGAAGTAGAATTTAGATGTCATGTGAGAGGAAGCTGGAGCAAGGATTCTAAAGGAGATGAGGAGGGCCTGCCTTCCCCACCTGTCTGGGCCCCTCTTCCTAAGGTGAACGGGGTTTTTGGTGAGAGGAGGGTAGAAGAGGTATGAAGTAGCAGAGAGAGGGTCTTCACCTACCCACTCATCTCCCCAGACTGCTCCTCGATTCTACCCCCTTAACCTTAGTGGAATTCAGGACCAGTGAGGGAGAGCCTGTCGCTGGAAAGTCATTTCTGCATGACTGAAGAGCCACCAGCTGTGGGATCCCACTCCTTGGCACCTCCTCCACTCCCAACAATGCCAGGGGGCCTCCAACCCACTCCCTCTGCCAGGGCCCCGAGCTTCCTGCTCCACTATTCCAGGCAGCCAGAAATGAACACACAACCCAGGCACTTCTGCAAAGATGTTTAATGCACTTAGATTACACAGAGGAAGAGGAGGCAAGGAGGAAACATCTAAGTGAGTCACCCAAAAATTCTTACAAAAGTCCCAGGCTGGCTGCAGCCCCAGGAACTGAGTCGCCACTGACATTAAAAACTAATATAAAATTTACAAAAATCTGCTCGTTGCAGCATTCAGGTACTTGTACAAAAGGGAGGTCTCTCCACAGGGCTCCTGACTTGTAACAGGGACCCAGGCACCTCATCTGGCATGGACATCCTAGAAGCCAGAGAGGGAAGACCGGATAAAAAAATACAGTAAAGGAAATTCTCTAGTGGTCTGCCCCATAGGGGCACCGACCTTCAGGTTTTCTCCCTGCTTGCAACTCAATCCGAAAACCCAGTCCCAAAACCCTGTATCTATTTTTAAAAATGCTCTAGCCCTTTTAGACTCTCCCTTCAGCTTCCCTAGTCCCTGCCTTAGAGCACTGCCCTTGGAAGGGGAAGTTATGGCAGGAAGAGGCATGAGCTCCCCAGCTAGGCCTGAGACTTCACACAAGCCTCCCAAAACCCTCTCAGAATGGCAGCTGGGTCTGAGGTCCTCCTGCAGCCCACTCTGAGCCAGCGGAGCCACAGGAGCCTGCCTTATACAGCAGGAAACAGCAAGGGAAAGGCCCTTCTCAGAAGCTCTAGCACCAGGGACCTGGAGGGCTGGGTAGGACTAGGCAAATCTCCAAGTAGCTTGCAGAAGAGGCAGATTTAGGGAGGGAGGCCCCTTATCTCTTCCACCCACTACAAGGTCAGGGGCTCTCACAGAGCTGCAGGGAGGGAAAGACAGGGTACATTCACCTTGCATCCTGTGCCAGAAGCTGTGCTGGGCAGGGTCCAAGGTCAGTCTGGCTTGATCTTTGAGGGTCCTCTGTCACCAAGCCAGCAGCCTGAGACACCTCTGGGAGGCACCAATGCTCATGGGAAAGGAGGCCTGGTCAGAGATGCATGATGCTCTGCCCAGTCCCCAGAGCCAGTGAGATGAAGCCTGGCCCCTGCAGGATCTTGGATGTGCATGAGGCTCCTGACATAGCATGGGTACCAAGGGGCCACAGGCTTCATGTGCTCATCATCTTGGAGCCCACCCACTTCCTCCTGCCTTTCCCTGCTCCCCCAGAACAGGGCCACAGGCTGGCTGGTGCCTACCTTCAGTCTGCAAAGGCCCTTCAGACCTGGGGCAAGTTGTTGACCAGGTGCTTCACAAGCTGATTACAAAGCTTAGCTCAGAAAATGCCCCTTCCTACCCAACCACAGATGGAAGCAGGGCGAACTGCAGTGGGGGACCCTTGGGCAAGAGAGAGTTCAGGGAGAGGCTGGTCAGGATGGCAAGGAATGGAGGCAAACTGATGGCACCTCTCTGCCTGTGAAATGTCAGAAGACAAGAGCTTCAGAGGAAGGGCTGCTGTGGTGGGTGAAGGGCAGTAGAGGCACAGCTGCCGACATGAGGTTCCAAGTGGCTTGCATCTTGGCTGGTGAAGACCTGGAGCCAGTCTCTCCCAAATACTCCAGGCTGATGTGCCTTGTATCTCTGAGCTTGATGGAGTTAACTGGATAGCCCTGGGGATGTGCAGAGGAGGCCAGGCCTAGTGGCTCCAGGGAGGTCCAACTCCTGCCCCTGGAGAACCCAGCTGGTGCCCTCATACCCCTGGGGGCAGCTCTTTGGCTGGATCTCTCATCAGCAGAGTCCTAACCCCTGTGGGCGCTACTGTGGCATCCATGGTGGTGCCCATGTGTGTAGCAGAGGCAGATGGGAGCCAGGACGAGCCCTGCATAGTCATGACTCTGCTTTGAAGAGGTGGAAAGTGATCCTGAAGTATTATAGCAGTCCCTAGATTTGGGGATTAGAAGGTGGGAAAGGGGCTTTCTGGTTCCAGGTCAGGAGTGGGAGATAAGCTGAGAGGAACTCCAAATCCATGGGCTAGAGATAGGCTGGCTTCCGGAAGGCAGACTGTGAGATCTGCAGCACTGGGGGTGAGGGGCTGAGGACCATGAGAGGCCAGGATGCCGGAAAAGAGACAGGATGAGGAGTGGAGAATGAAAGACAGGGCAGGGCATGGATGGATACAGGGAGGATGGGAGAGCGGCAGAGAGCAGTGTTAGCAAAACCAAAGTGAAAGAGATGTTGAGAGGCGGAGTTTTCGGTTTTGGTAAGCCAGTCCTACAGCCTGAGACTGGTAGGCCCAGGGACTGGGAAAATGGGACAGGACTGGTTACAGAGCTGGAGACCCAGGCCCTGAGTGGCAGTGGGGGTGGTGTGTAACATGCTGAACCTTACCCTCTCCCAGGCAGGCCTGGTTGGGTGGAAAAGGCCTAGATGAGGCTGAGGTCACCAAGTCTTTGAGACCCATTCACTTGGAAAACAGTAGCATCCCTCCCTGGCCCCAGCTAAACAAGGCTCAAAGCTGCACAAGTTGGTGTCTCCACTCTCCCCCTGCCCCAGGCTCCGCCAGGCCCAGCTGAGAAGAAAAGCCTCTCTTTGCAGCCGACTCCTCCAGGCTCTGGGGTTGGCGGGCGAACACCAAGCACCTTCTCTGGTGGCAGTCCAGGGAGAGATACAGCCCTAGGCCTCTGTCAGAGAATGGGAAAGTTCAACGGGGAATAAAGTTCTGTTTAAAAAACAGTATATACATGGCTTCTGGACATCTTTGCAGAGAAATAGAATACCATCCGGTTTCTACAAAATAAAATAAGGAAGAAGAAAACCAAACACGACAGAGGAATTGTTCCATGGCTGGAGGAGCTTGAGTAGCAAAGGCTTCCAGAGCTGAGCTGGGCGGTGCATCCACATGCTCTGCTCTGCACCTGGGCGTCAGCCCACCTCCTGCTGTGCGGCAGGGGGTAGGTGAGAATGAGGCCTGTCTCCACCTAGGGGCACAGCCAGGGTCCAGAGTCAAACCTCAAACCAGAATCTGTTCAGGCAGCAGTCAGGGAGGGTCTGCATTTGCAGGCTTACTGGCCTGATGCGTCACAGGGCTTAGCCATGGGGGTTGGGGGGTGCAGCCCCTGAGCTGGAGGTGAGATGGGGGGCCCGTGGCCTGTGCATTGCACCCCACTGGGCTACGGGGTGGTGCTGTGCAGTCTTCCTCACACTTGTCCTTTTATTTGTGGGGATCCTGTTGACACAACTGTTACACTGGAAGTCACTGGGGAGCAGCTGGGCTCCCTGCTGGCCCCTGCAGGGCCCAGCCCAGGCTAGTGTAGCGGACTGTCGAATACCACATCAGGCAGGATGGAGACCTTCAGCTTCTTTTCAGGCCAGCTGTACTCTTTGGGAAGTTTGAACTGTGGAGGGAGCAAGCACAGACCAGGAGTGCGAGTGATTAGCAGAATCCACCGTGTTCTTTCCTGACTGCCCAGGCCTGTCCGGGGAACCAGGGATAGGATGGGCCTCAGGATGCCTGGCTTCATTCTCAAATGCTAGACCCAGCTGGGAGGCTGGGCTCAAATGGCTGCAGTGGGTGACCTCTTCCTTCCCCATGGCCTGCCAATAATTAGCCAGGTTGGAGGAGGGCGTTTTCTTCTCGTTTTTCCACTAAGCTGACCTCCCTCTTGCTCACTTCCTTCGTTCTGCCTCTGGCCACAGGCATGTAAGGAATCTGCTCCCTGAGGCCCTAGGGCTGGAAGATGGGGGCTGGGGAAGGGTCTGGAGGCTGTGGGGGAAGTGGCCTGAGCTCTGTCATTGCCATGGCCTCTCTTTCAGAGGCCAGTGCAGGAAGAACACTGGAACCTGTTCTTTGTAACCTTGGCCAAAGCCTCTAAAGGGAAAGAGGCCCTAGTTCGGCCCCAAAGTCAGAACCACACTTGCAGCCTTGGTGGGTACAGAAGAGTGGGCTTGAGGTGATCCCTTGGGCCTGGCGGAGCCTCAAGAGGGGCCAGTCCCCACCCTGTTCCCCATGTTCATTCGCACTGCTTCCCAGGGTTACCAGCGTCAGAGTGGTCCCAGCAGTAGGCAAGGAGAGCCACATGTCTCCCACCCTGCCCCAGGAATCACTGATTGGCCTACAGTTCTGTTTCTCCTGTTCACCTGGGAGCCTCCGGTTGGGGAAGGGATTCCCTCTTTACAGTAGGACTTTGGATGCAATCTGGCACACAGTTGGTGCTCAATAAATGCTCACTGACTGGGACTGATGCTGGAACTTAGACACAGGGTCTGTCTTTTCTAACTTGGCTAGACTGGAAGTCAGGGCAGGGTGGAAAGGAGAGAACAGTGCTTTCAACCTGCCTAGGGCTGGGGCTGGAGGCAGACAAGCCTGATCCTTCATGGCTACCTCCCTCTTCCCTCTCTCTGCTGGGGGACTATCTCTGCCAGGACCAAAGTGGTGAGTGGGGCAGGGTGTGGGGACAGCCTCTGGACAGAAAAGGTAAAAAAGAAAAAAGTCATTTTTAGTGACCTACTTTCCTCTGCTCCCCCTGGCTTCTATCCCTCTTGCCTGGACTGTTCCCCTCCTACCCCCTCGACACCCAAGCTCAAAGCAGCAGCCTGGCACAGTGCCATCCTAGTGCGACAAGGCCTCTCCGGAAGCGCTTCTGGGCAGCTGGCTCTGGTCTGACTGAATGGGGAGCCGGGACTCAGGGACCAGTGACTTGTGGGGGTTGACTGGCTGGCACAGACTGGGTGCTTGATGACTTTGGAATGTATAAATGAACTAATTTCTCAAGCTGCATCCCAGAGGACAGAAGAGACACTGCTCTGCTCTGCTCTGGTGACCCCTGGCTCTGGGGAGTTCCTCTCCACCTGGAGACCTGGCCTGGACTGTCCCATCCTGTGCATTCCCCTCAGCTTCCTGAACATTAGAGTCCTCTGTGTCCTGGCTGGTGCAGCCTGGGGAGCCCTAGCAGCTGGAAGCTCCAGCCCTGGCTGGAACCTAGCTCCTGCTTGGCCTCCCTCTGGCTAGAAAGCCTGGCCCCTGGGAGGCAGAGGAGTTCTCCCCCAAGCACATTTCCTGGCAGACAGGGCAAGGGAAGGGTCTGTCTCTGCCACAGGCAGGGCAGGGCCCAGGAGGGCTCTCCAGAGGCCCGGCCAGCCTGCTAATGTTCACTAACCCACGAGGCACTGAGGCCAGAAAGGCTCCCATCCTCCTGAGGTGCTGGGGGCAGGAGCAGGGGGAGGGGAAGGGACTTTCCAGGATGAGGTAAGTCCCTGCAAATGAGGATGCTGGGAACAAGGGAGAAAAAACAAAGGGGATTATGGACTCCATTCCTCTACCCCAGAGGAGTAGCTGGAGAAGGCACAACCACAGCTGGCCTGCCAGCTCCTCCGGTTCTGAGCCAGGGCTGGAAGAGGGGGACTAAGAGGGGACAGCTCATGGCTGGAGAAGGAAGAAGGGAGAGTGGCTCCCGGGTGGCCCGAGGCGAGGGCAGAAGTCCCTTGCTGCCCACCAGAACTCCCCAGTGGAATGTTCTCTGGCAACAGACATGAGCTTTCTGTTCAGAACCTGCCAGGGAACAGCAGGGGCTGGGGAGAACTTGAACTAGCCTGAAGGCCCTGGCTTCTTCCTCTTTAATGAGGTTCTTAGGAACTGGCAATTTGGACAATTTGCTGGGTGTCCTTACAAGGGCTGGGGGTAGGGCGGGGAATGGTGGGGTGCATAGAAATAGAAGAGAAATCTACAGTCTCCTCTCCAGCCTATCCCTGCACCTTGGAGAGGAGCCCACAGATGCAGCCACACAAATACATGCAAGCACACGTGCGCACACACACATACACGCACACACATGGTCCCAGAGACGGGACCCGCTGTCAGGGAAAGTCAAACGAACTTACTTCCTCTGGAGAAGTCAAATCTTCTAAATCCTCCAACATTTTCTCTACAAATTCTTCGGTCAACAGAATCTGTGAAGGTACAAGGCAGGCTTTTATTATTATTATTTTAAATATATGATTTTTTGCCAAGCACCAAGCTTTAGACCTCTCTTCTGACCATGAAGGAGAGATGAGTTCACTGTGAAGTGTTTGAGGCCTGTCCCCAACTGTCATTTCCCCCCATTCCCCCCACCTCCCTACAATATCAGACAGGGACAGAGAAGGAAAGGGGTCAGGGGACAATGGGAAGGGGAGGGAGGACATTGCGAGTCTGGGAATGCTACTCCCGGAAGGGAGATGAACACTGGTGGGGCTGGTAAAAAGGTTACATCAGGAAAAAAAAAGTAACAAAAAAAGAAAAATTAAAAGGAAAAAACATTTCAATTAAAAATATATTGGTGGGGTGAAAAGCCCTTGTTGTGGTTGCCCAGGCCTCCTGCACAGTGCCGTGCAATCACAGGGAAGAGCAGGGCCGAGGGCGGGGAAGCTGTTGCCCAGTCAGGCTCGCGTGTCCGCCTCTGCCCCCACACCGTGGCAGGACAAAAGGAATCTGTCTGAATTTGGAATACAAGCCCTGTCTGGAATCTGGAAATGCCCAGGAAGGTACATCCAAGAATGTCTGAGCTGGAGAATCTGGAGACTGTGGACCAAGGTCTCTCATTTTACAGATGACAAAGGGACTCCCCACTTCCATTCCCATTCACGGTAGCTACGTCCTCCCAGGATGGAAGCTCCCAAGCCACTGCCCTGCTGGGCTCGATCAGCCACTGAGTTCCTCCAGACTTCTTTGAGATTCCTCCTCTCTAGGTCACCTCCCAGTGTTCCACGCTCCTGTTCGAGTCTGATGCCTCATTGCCTCTCGCTTTGATGCTGAGTCTGGCCCCACTATTTGGCTAGCACAACCACCACCTTCATCTGCTAAAGAAGTTTTCACAGCTAATACCAATGTCCAAGGACTCTCAAGGCCTCTAAAACCAGGTCTTCCTCAATCTAATTTTCCCCACCCACCCCTCTGATCAGGGTGCTATGCAGAGCCAGGCCAAACTGACCTGCACCCCACCAAGCCCAGGCTGAGGATCTTTCCTCTTCCAACCCTGACCCCTTCCTTTACCCCTCCCTCTCTCTGTCCTTGTCCCCAGGGCCTCCTGGCCTCCCCCTGCTGCAGACCCTTTTGTACAACCAGGCCACAGCTCTACCTGTCTCCTCCCGAACACTCTGAGCACCCAGGTAGGGCACAAAGGAAGAAAGATCCAGATGAGGGGCTCTTCTGGGGGGAACCCTCCCTGTGAGGAGGAGGAGAATTGAGAACTTGAAAAATACCCACCAGGTTTCCCCTGGGAATTGTCAGCTGCCAAGAACAAAAGTTTCCACACTGTGAGATAACAAGGAAAGTGAGCAAGCAGGACGGCTCAGGACCTCGAAGGATGGAGGTCTTCAAAGCAAGAAGTGGACAGAGTAGAGGAGGGAGTGAGGAATAAGGACACTACTCCCAAGTGAGCAGAAAAGTTGTCATCATACAGGGCATGCTAACTGCTCATCTCCCTGTCTTACAGTGGAGGAAACTGAGACACAGGCAGGTTATGTAATTTGCTCAGTGTCACATGGCTTGTGAGTGGCTAAAACCATATCTTGGTCATGTCCGGACTCTCAAGTTAGTGCCTGGAGTACTGCTCCAGAATGCTGAACTCCCACCCCCAGGACACTGACTCCTCTATTCATCATTCCAGGGACGCAGGCATAAAGGCAACCCATTTCCCACCAGGACAGGCAGCCTCCCTTGGCTGGCAAGGAGACAAGAGACCCAGCCTTCGGCTCCAAGCCCACAGCAGGTATAAAATAGCTCTGACCATCAGTCCACACCTCCTCACCAAACTCTGTTCTAGGAGCTAGGGCCCTGACTGAGGACAGAGACAAGGCTTAGAGACAGAACAGGAGAGGCAAAGTTGGCAAAGCTGGGGGAGGTGTACCCCTACAGTTCTAATTCCCCCAAGTGGGGCTGGCCGACTCTGCCCACAGACTCCAGACTTACACATATCTCTCCCATCGCCCAAGCCCTTGCTCCTCCTACTCTCTTATCTCAGGGGTGTCCTCCTCAAAAGTTCAGAGTTTCCCCACCAGTTATCACCAGTCTGCTCAAGTAGTACAAAAGTCCCATTCATATTTTTGGCATTTCCGGGGCTCACTGCCATCTCTGCAAATGCTAGCACAAACACAAGCATACCTAAAACCCAATTATATTACAATGACTCCAGTCTGCGCCGGGCTAATTTCTAACTCACAAATAACTTGGAGGGAGGGGCTTTCTGCCAGATCAGTAAATAGATCTAGGATTATAACAAGCGCTGGGAGTGAGATGGGGTGGGAGGGAGGACAGGAAGAGGGGTGAGGGTTCACAGGGGCTGTGGCCACCCAGTTAGACACCAGTTACTCTTCAAGGAAACGTAATGCCAACACTGAGTTCATTCTAAGCTGGCTCCTCTGACAAAGGTCTGGAACTGATGCTAGGGAGAGGGTTATAGTGGCTTTTAGTAGAGCAACCACTATGCGTGGCACCATCTGTGTGTGGACTTATTTTGGGCTCAGTTGGGGCCAGATCAAAAACAAGGACAAACCCTAGTTGCTCCTCCATTTTCACTTTTGGTGATTTGCTGGTTCCTGCTGGCAATTTTACGTTATTTTAAAAGAATTAAAGGGGAAAAATTATACATGAGATCTGCATGATATTAAGGGTGACATTCTCTGCAAAGAAACACGACAGACTGTCATAGCTCCAGGCACCTAATTTAATTTCCTTTGGGAGTTAAACCTTAGAAGCTTGGATTGAACAAACAGGCCCTGTTCTTTGTATATTTCAAATCTGGAACTGAGAATGTTAACAGATCTTATCAACAGGACACTGGAGATAGACAGCTAAGATGGGGCAGCTCCTGGGAGCTCTCCTGAGTAACAGACTCGCCCTTGTGATGCAACTGTGGGAAAAGCCTGTGCGGTTCTGGGGCTTGGCACTCCTGAAGCTCACTGGGTCCCTATGGAGCTGCTTGGCTCTGTCACAAATAATAATGGGAATGGTGATGATAAAAATGACAGTAAAAATGGCCTATAGCAGAATAAGTACCTCCCCCATGTGCCAGGCGCTGTGCGAAGAGCTTGATCAGTGTCATTTTGTTGAATCCTTGTGGTAGTCCTGCTAGGGAGGTGACTATCATCCCCACTTTGCCCAAGGGTAGGTACCCAGAAGAGACAAGGCACTGGACTTTAATTTTTTAGACAGAGTCTTGCTCTGTCGCCCAGGCTAGAGTGCAGTAGCACAATCTCAGCTCACTGCAACCTCCACCTCCTGGGTTCAAGTGATTCTCCTGCCTCAGCCTCCGAGTAGTTGGGATTACAAGCGACTGTCACTACATCTCGCTAATTTTTTTTTTTTTTTTTTTTGAGTCAGTCTCTCTCACTCTGTCACACAGGCTAGAGTGCAATGGTGAGATCTGGGCAAATTGCAACCTCTGCCTCCCAGGATCAAGCGATTCTCCTGTCTCAGCCTCCCCAGTAGCTGGGACTATAGGCGTATGCCACCATGCCTGGCTAATATTAGTAGAGATGGGGTTTCACCATGTTAGTCAGGCTGGTCTCGAACTCCTGACCTTGTGATCCACCTGCCTTGGCCTCCCAAAGTGCTGGGATTACAGGCGTAAGCCACTGCACCTGGCCTAATTTTTCTTTTTTCTTTTTTTTTGACATAGAGTCATCTTGACAGTTCTCTAGCCCAGAAGGTAGCAGTATAAAGATTGATAACAGCACTCACTGATATTTGCACTTACCAAGAGCCAGGCAGAAAACACTTATGTTTGTGCACAAACAGCTCTCAGAGGGAGGAGTCCATCTAGAGAGGAAGACCCCCCAACCAATCTGAGCAGCACACTCCCCTGGGAAGCTTTTGAAACTATGGGGATGCTAGGCCCCATTCACACCTTCTGAATCAGAATACGCTGGGGCAAAGCCAAAGCACTTGTATTTTTAAGAGGTGCCCCACGCGAGATTATGGTGGGGCTGCTGGGGAAATACTCAGGCCCACAGGAAAAGGGGGTTTGGGCACAGGCTTAAGCAACAAGGGTGACTTGGTGGCTCTAGCTCCACCACCATCAAACTGGCTGAGCTGCCAGGGGAGCAGTGGACCCTGGTCACTCCTAATTCCCACCTTTGGCCAGGGAGGGGGCTTGGAATCTAGGCCAGCAGATACTCTAATGGGCTCACACCAGCTGCCTTAACCAGCTTGCCTGGTGATGGTGAGGGAGGATTGTCAACAACCTCCCAATTCCCCAGGCTCCAGCAAGTTCCAGAAAGGAACCTGAAAAGTGATCTTGTGTCAGTGCCTGCCCTGGGCAGGCCAGGCTGTGTGCAGGCAGGAGCCCCACTGCTGCAGATCTGACGCCGATTCAAATGTCTGCGGTCAATGATATTTCTGAGTCTGCAAAGAGTGGCTGACAATGCCCACTCCTTCCCCTTGGTATGACAATCCACACTTTGTCCAGGGCCTTGTCTGTTCATCATGTTGACATGTTGTTCTTGCTTCCCAACAAGTTTGGCTTTCTTTTCCCTCCCTTTCCTCCTCTGAGGGAAGGAAATGTGTTGTTTACAGTGGAAAAGCCTGCCAAGGAGCTGCTCTGGCACCCGCAATGGCGGTGGAGGAGGTAGGGACAAGGAAGCAGTCCTGTCTGTGTCCCTTCCCTCCCAACCCCCTCCACAGGCCAGACAAAAGCCAGAAAACAGCTTGGAGAACACCCCCCACCCAGATCAAGGGCAAAGGTATGTGGTATGGCAGGTATCGGGCTGCAGTGGGGGCACAGATCTCGCTCATTTTTTCTCAGTGGGTGGTGAAAAGTTGGCTTTGATGGCCAGAAGCAGGCTCAGACTCCTGCTCTGGCCGTGGGCTTCCAGGAACACAGTGGGGCATCATAGTCCTTTCCTAGAAGGAAGGGCACTTGTCCAGGCACATTGCTCGGCTCTAAACCTGAATGGGCATCCCCCTGGACAACAAGGTATCTGGGGCAGGCCAAGCAAAGGTCTCCAGGGAGAACAGGTATGGCTGGGTTCACCAGTAGTCGGAGGAACTATAAAGGCACCAAAGAGGAGATACCCAGGGAATGGACTGGGGATTCTCAAGTCATCTTCTGTGCAATATCCAAATGGGTGGCAGAAGGCAGGGCTTGTCCAGAGGAGAGCTCGGCAGCAGCTCCCCAATCTTGGCTTGGAGCAGCAGAGCCCACTTGGAACAGCTGCTGGGCGTTTTCTCCTGAGCCTGGGGCTTTCCATCAGGGCTGGCAGAGAATGGCTGGAACTAGGGGCGACACCTGGGTGAGCTGTCAGACACCACACAGCTGAGAAAGCATTGCGGGGCCTAAAACAATATTCTCATATTTGGTGATGTGACCCCTATGTGACCGCTGGGGCTGAGACTTCAGATCAACCCTGGCTGGGGAAGGATGAACACCTCAGCTCTGGGCCAGGCTCTTGCTCAGAAGACTAACATCCCAGTGTTGACAGGCTCAAGGGAGAGAGGCTTGTTAAAGCCACTAGGATGAGGGAATGCTGGGGGAAGGAGGTGCAGGAGCAGACCTTGGCAGGCCCCCTCCCAGGGTCTGAAGAGCCTCCTGCACAGCTCCGGAGTTGGCTGATAAGCTTTACAGTCTCAGCAAGGATGAAAACAGCAAATGGCAGGGCAGACCAAGGCGTTCCCTGGAAAGTGAAAGCCTGTGGAACTGGAGCTGGCTTCCTGCACCTCCAGATCCTCCATGAAGTAGGGAGTGTCCACTGTGCTCCACCTGGGGCTGCAGATGGCCCTGCTCTGCGGCATGCTGGGGTCCAAACTCTCCTGGGTCTGGACTGATGGGGAAGTGGTGGAGCAGGTGGCGGTGGAGGCCTGTCTGGGGCCATTCCACAGGCTCTGGAAAGGGGCTCGGGTTCCCGAACCTTCTGCCTTTTCCTCTTGGCCTCTCTGTTGTCACTCTTCCCTCATGCAGGGGGTGTCTCTGCCACACTTTCTCCCAAGAGATAATGAGTCTGGGCTGGTGGCCAGAATAAGGTGCCAAGGTTGCTGTAACATAGTCATCCCAGCCCCTCCGTTTCAGCTGGGACCAACAGGAAAGTTCTGGCAGCAGTCGAGAACAGAAGACAGGGTCTCTTCATGTCCTGCATCTCCTGGATTCTGCTCCTTCCTACTCCTCTGCCCCCAACAGGCCTGGGCACACAAGGCCCCAGGAGACACCCCGGAACCCTGGGGGTGCGAGTGAGAGATGCCTGCAGGGAGCAAAGGCAGGCCTCTCTGTGCTGGGGTCCCCTCCTGAGGAGCCTATGGCCCTCCTTGGCCCAGTGGAGTGGCCCTCACTGGCGACTCTAAGTCTAACCCCAGGCCTCTAGGAGGTCCTGCAGACTCCCAGGGAGACAGCCAGCCCCAGAGCAAGACCTACAGGCCCACAAGTAATTACAAGCCCAGGTTCCCACAAGCGAGGGAGCTGCCTGTGGCCACAGTGGCAAGACCCTAACGGGGGAGGCTGGCTGGCAGTCAGAGGCAGAAAGTGCTGACTGCCTGGCAGGGGGAGGAGGGCTGGTGTGGGTGTTGGCTCCAGCATTGAGAATCTGGCTGGGGGCAGGGTCAGAGGGTTTCCCAGGGCTCCTTGGAAAGGGCCTGAGAAACCCCTTGGTGATCAAGGGTGGGTGCTTGGGGAGTGGGGCCTCCGCCAGCCTTCCCAGGAGCTCTCCTGTGAGCCGGGCCCTGTGGTGGACCACAATAATGAGCCCATAACACAGGCCTTTGATTGAGCAGCTCCCAGCACAGCAACTTTATTGAAACATGCCGAAGCCAGCAGCTCGTTCCCACCGCGCCCCGGTTCCCTGGGCAACAGCCCATGGGAGGGGATCATGTGCTGGGGAGCCAGCGGGTGCTGAGCCTCAAGCTCACTGAGGGGCTGCCAGGGAGGTGAGGGGGTTGTGGCACTGGGAGTGGGAACCCCAGCAGCTACGAGGTCAGGGGCTTGGGGAAATGGGGTTGGGTCCAAAGGGCTTTCAGTAGACTGAGGGGCAACGTGACATCTACTGAGTCCTGTGGGGGCCAAGCTTCCTGAGCTGCTGAAAATCAGAGATGCTGACTACCCTCCCTCAGGGCAGGAAGACGTTCCAGGAGGGGAGGAGAGAGCTCCAAGGATAGGGTCAGAGCTGAGGAAGTGAAACCTAACTGGATAGAATGTATTCTGCAGTTTGGGAAGGCCCCAGTCCCTACTGTCCCAGGAAAATGTGCTTGAACCTTTAATAAACACACATACACACATACGCATGCTCACGCACACACATGCTCTCGTGCTACCTGGGGACATTTGGGAATGATGACCTGTGAACTCTCAGGGGCTGGTCCTTAGCTTTAGCCTCCCCAGCAGCACTGCCCAGGGGACAGACCTCCTCCCTCCCTGTTCTCCACAGGGGCAGGGGTAGCAGCCCAGGACATGGCTGGGGATGGGGAATGGGGGGAGGCCCTTTCCACTTGTGCTGGGCTAATTTCAAATATTACACTTCAGAGCTTTTGTTACAGTAACTACCAACACCACATGGACAGAAATCTAATGTTGCCAAGTGGGACTTTTAAAATGTATTTATAACTTTATGGTTCAAAGTAATTTTGTTATGAAACGATATAATAACAACAGTGGAAAAAGGCAAGATAATTTATGGAACACAATATCCCTAAAGCACTAGCTTCCATTTCTATCTCAGCTTAGTCTGGTGAGTGTGGTTGGTGTCTTTTGTTTGCTGTTTGTTTTAATTAAGGGTTAGTATTTTGGTGGTAGGGGAGAAGAGGGGCCTGGCCTGAAGGAGGAGAAATTCTGTAGACATGCAGCGTTAAAAAGTGTTTCCGTATTGAGTACATGTGCTTCACAGACTCCCCAGACTGGGTGAAACCCACAAACCCAGCATCATTCTCTTCCCCTCTACCATAATGCTACATGCCTCTCCAATATATCGCAAACCAGGTATGGCCACCTTTAGGTTGGTTTAAGGTCATGTTCCCTTTTTTGATACTTGAGAGCGAGGTGAGGTAAAGTGTTCAATCCTCTTTCCACCCTTAACAAACAAACAAATGCCAAAAAAAGATGTTGTCCTTCCCAGACTCTCAGGAGTGTGGTCAAGCAGGCTGAGCACCTGTTAGAGACCCGGGACAGAGGACGGGTGGGGGGCTGGAAGGAGGCCTATGGCTCTGAGGCCTCGGCACCCTGCTTGGCATCAGCTCTGAAGCTTGCTACAGCCAGAAGAGCAAAGGAAGGACAAAGTGCTCTGGACAAGCCAGCAGGTTTCTGGTAACACACACTCAGGAGGGATGGGAGGGCCATCAGAAAGGGTGGGAAGGGGAGGCTCATCCCATTGAGGCCTGCCCAGCCCCTGGTCCAGGCACCCATGCCACTGTCTGAATTCTGGTGGGATTTCCGTGTAGCCACTGGAGACTGGCTTCCATACCTCCCATCTTGCTTTACCCTTGATTTCTTGTACCTTGGTTTACTCAGGGTTCAAAAAGTCTTATAGCCTTCCAACCTGGATTTTCACGGGAAACAGAATTACCAATAGCCAGGGCCTGGAGAGTTAACACTTGTAACTCAGGTGACAGGGGGAAAAGGCCAGGAAATGCTCCTGGAGCTGCTGCAGTGGGCAATGGCATCTATACTCCACATCCACACACAGGCCTCGGGCCCTGAATCCAAGAGGCATTCATGACCAGCCCCCCCCAGAAGGGGCACCACCAAGAATTGCCAAGGGAGAAGAGGAGGGGTGGGCAAGTAAGAGCCTATGGAAGGAAGGAAGGGAGTAAAAGAAGGGCCTTCTCACTTGTAACCAGGGTCCATGAGCCGCGTAAGGATGCTCCTCTGTGGCAAAGGCGCCTTCTACTCCCGTGGAGACAAACGTGATGGCCATGTCCCCTGTGATACTTTTATATGTAAAGTGCCGTCCATGCAGGAGCCTGCCCCTGGGGGTGGGAACATGGAGACAGTGAGGAGCTGGGCCTAGAAACAGTTCCAAGTACAGCAGGCCTGGCCAAGGCTCTGGGACCCTGGGGGTTATGTTCCATGGGACAGGGTGCCTGGTAAATGCCCTCCTGGCTGCCCACCTGCCCACTAAAAGAGGACTGTACCCAAACATGTTCATTTCAAAGAGAAGCCCCCCCTCACAAGTTCTCTAAGGTTATCCTTTCAAAGTGCTCAAAGCTAGCAGAAAACACTCTAGATCAGAGTTCAAAAGCCCTCCAGAGGTCGTGGGGTTCCCCTCCCTAAGGAAAACTGAGGCCAGAGAGAAAAGGTAGCAATGTGCCAAAGGTCATGCCCAGAGGTAAGAGGGGGTCACATCCCCCATTGGGGATGGAGGTGAAGTAGTATCTAGACAAGTTTCCCTGGAATGATGGGATAGTGCCTCTCCAGTGGGACACCTCAGTGACCAGGGCAGAATCTTCCTGCTTCTGGGTTTTCCATAACATTTAAGTGGCTGGCCCAAAGGCCATAGCACATCTTAAAAAAAAAAAAAGCAAGCAAGCAAACTGAAGCCATGTGGGGTCACTCAGGGAGCCACAGAAGTTACTGTTAATCCCTAGTCTGGAAATACACCTGGGGGAGGGGAAAGCAGGGGCAACCAATGGGCAGAGCCACCCATCAGTGAAGGAAGCGGAACCTGCCCGCTGCCTTCTCAGGCTGCCTCCAATTAACCCTTCACCAGTTGAAAGGCTCTGGGCCTGGGCAAGATAAGTGGCTGGGGAGGAGTGGCTGTGGGGTGGTGGTGGGTCCCTCTAGGTCCTGTTCATTCTGGCCACTTGCTCTCTATCTGCTACCCAGGGTGGCTGGCCAAAGCTGGTTAGCCTTCAAACTCACACCCAGGTGCTGGGACAGTGAGGAGAGTCCCAACTGTGCAAGTCTTCTTCCCTGTCACTTCTGTGAGTTTAGAGTTACTCTTAGACCCTCTGCTGCTCAGAGTGTGGGTGGAGCCCTGTGGCTGTGGGGGAGCCAGCTGTAGCAGATGCAGCCATGCAGCCGTGCAGCCACCCCGAGCACAGAGCTGAGTTCTGGCCAGAGGGCTGGGCTCTGGCACTGTGGACAGAAGCAGAAGGGACACAGCTGGGCTTCCTGGTCCCTCAAGGAGTTTGCTGGGCTGGCCACTGGGTTTTAGAACTGAGTGTTTTCCATGGGAAAAGCAGCAAGCAGGAGAAAATACAGCCCAACCCACACAACCCTGCCCTGACAAACCAGTGTTTCTGGGGACCCTGCCATCCCTGACCCTGGACTTGTGGGTGGTTGGAGGCACCTGAGACTCCCTAGATCACAGAGCCTTCCTCAAGGGAACAGGGCCGAGGAACAGTTCTCTGGACAAAGGGGAGTTCTTTAGCACCTATTCCCTGTGGATTCTGACTCCAGAACTTGCAAATGAGGAAGGTCTGTCAAGCAAGCAGTCAGAGATCAATGGGGCTCTCTGGCTACAGTGCTGGGCCCACTGGGGACTGTCGCTGCTCTGGGCTAGACAGGAAATGCAGAGAAGAGAGCCCCTCTCTAAGAAGGATGGTTGACTTCTCGCCACCTAGGCCAGCCAGAGGCTTGGGCAGGGAGAACACTGCATGGCCCAGTGACACGGGGGTGACTGGCCAGTTCACAGCCCCCGGGCTCCAAAACAGGATCCAAGTGGAGTAGCTATTCTCCCTCCCTGAGCCCCAGCCTGCTTAGGTGTGTGGGCTGCCAACAGGCACTTCAGCCTTACCAGGAGACAGCAAGCACAGGCCTGTGGCTCTCTGGAGGCTCAAGGATGTCTGCTAGGGGAGTGGGCTGGGAAGGTTCTGAAGTGTCCCCTGGAGGCTGAGCTGGGTGCTGTGGGTTGAGCTGTGTGGCAGGGCTCTCTCTCACCTTAGGCAGAGAGGAATGAGGGCTCCGGACTCCTGGTTGAATTTCAGATGTACACTCTCGAGTTGCCGTGTGCGAATGAGCTCATGGGGAATGATGGCCGTGGAGCTGTCACTTTCCAGGCTGTCTTTACGGCTCCTGTGAAGCAAGCACAGGAAAACGTTCAGCACAAGGTGAAAAGCTCAGGGAGGAGCAGGATGGGAGTCTCTGTCTGGGCTCCTGAGTAATAAAGACAATAATGGTGACTGATGATAATGATGGTGACAGCAACCATTTTGTATATGCCTGGCAAGTGCCAGCCACCGCATCAAGCACTTCTCACTGACTGGCTACTCCTCCTCACAATGCCCCCAAGAGGTAGCTGCCACCATTCTTTCCTTTTTTACAGAGGAAGAACTGGGGATAGGGAGGCTTAGTAATTTGCACAGGTTGCACAGCCAGAGAGTGGGTGGAGGTGAGATCTGGTCTCAGGTAGGTCTGGGTCTATAAAGCCTGCTTCTTTGGCCAACATTTTTTTTTTTAAGATGGTGTCTAACTCTGTTATCCAGGCTGTAGTGCAGTGGTGCAATCTCAGCTCACTGCAACCTCCACCTCCCAGGTTCAAGCCATTCTCCTGCCTTAGCTTCCTGAGTAGCTGGGATTATAGGCGACCGCCATCATGCCTGGCAAATTTTTGTATTTTTAGTAGAGATGGGGTTTCGCCATGTTGGCCAGACTGGTTTCGAACCCTTGACCTCAGGTGATCTGCTGCCTTGGTCTCCCAAAGTGCTGGGATTACAGGTGTGAGCCACTGCGCCTGGCCCCAACATTCTACATTAAAATTTATGGCACAGTGGCTTGTCTTTCCCTGTGATCAGCAGGAGCTTTTGGGTGCCCTTCCTCTCCTGCCCTGGAGCCTCAGAGCTCTAACTCTGAGCACCATGAGATATGGCTCCAGGAGTTTCTGTCCAGGTGACATTAAAGGCTCTGAGGATGCACATTCCGCCAATGGCTAGGAGGTTCAGAGACATTCACACCCTTCATCTAACCAGACGATAATATAATCTGCACTGCTGAGTACAAGCCGGGCTCTTAGGATTCAGACCAGTGGGCTTGGCTGGAAAGCAGAACTGGGCCCCCACCCTGCTGGGCTTCAAGGCCCCAGGCGCCTGTACCAGATTCCTCCTGTGGCCTTGGCACCATGAACTGTCGCTGCTGCCCCACACTCCCTCCTGCCTGCTCCCCACCAACAGTGTGGCCCACAGCTTAGCCACAGGGTCCCTTTGCATTCTAAGATTTGCTCTTTCAAATTCAGCTGTCCCCACTGACAACCTCTCAAATCTGCCTCGGCCAGAAATAAGTTACCCACTGATCTCATTCAAAAGGCCGGATCCTGGTTTGGGCTGCGAATCTCAGAACAATTCCCCAAGTGTCCATCAAAAACTGGGTGAGAAGCTCTAGTTATCATTCAAGTGGCAGGCAGGAGCCACCCAGGATGACAGCCGGACAGCCACCAAGGGGCAGGCCCAACCTCCTCACACGATTCGGGGCTGGGTGCCACGTAGCTCCCTCTGGCAGGGTAGCACCCCGACAGGCAGGGCACCTCCGCAGGGGAAGGTGTAGGATCAGCAGGCAAAAGACAGAGGATGGCCCTGGCCAGCAAGGGCCCTGTGGCGGCAGTGGGTTAAACGTGCCCCTGAGGTCATGGGCCATCCTGCCTGCTGGTCTTCTCCTTGTGGGGACTCACCCCTGGATCTGACTGTTCCTTCACAAAGCGGTCCCTTCCTCTGGTTTCCTAAAGCCAGCTCTGAAACTGCCTTTTCCCCTGGCTTTGCCCTTGCATAAGACCTGTGAAGGAGACAAATGCTATGGACAAGAGGGTCATAGTATTCAGGACTGGAAGGAAACTCTGAGGTTGTTTAATCTAGCTCTTTTCTTTACAAAAGAGAGCGAGTGACACATCCAAGGCCACAGGGCAAGTCTGTGGTGGGCCAGAATGGGAGCCTCAGACTTCTAAACAACTCTCTTTCCCTTCACCAGGGTCGCTGCACCTCCCTCCCTTCTGAAGGAAGCACCAGCGACAGGTGAGGGCTCAGTGGAGACAGGGGGTGCCCTCAGGGCCCAAACGAACAGAACTCAGGAAGCAGTGTTTCCTGAGCCATGTTTCCTGAGCCCTTACTCTGTGCTAACCCTCTGCTCAGGCCATAGGTTCGTTCACTGATTTCTCCCAGCAAGCACAAGGTAGGCTCTGTTGTCAAGTCTTCTTTCACAGACGAGGTAACTGAGGCTCACGGAGGTGAGGGGACAGGCCCAAGGGCTCAAAGTGAGTTTAAGCGAAAGAACCAGGGAGTGACTCTCATAATCACTCCCTGTGCCATCTCTGACCATCCACTCCTGCTTCCAGACACACCACCATTCTCCTGAAAGGTCCTGAGGTCTGGCTTGGCCAGGTGGGGCCTGCTAGAGGATCCCAGCCTCTATGGTGCCGGCAAAAATGCTGATGAATAGCATGGGAGGTGGGGTGGGGGCTTGCAGAGAAGAATCAACGGCACACAGGGCTAGAGACATCTCAAGCTGGAGGGAAAAATAAATTGTTGAAAGTCAGCTAAAGTCACCTTGGCAACTGCCACAACACACTCACCCAGAACCAGGACATCAAACCCAACTGCAAACAGCTTTAAAGAAATGGAAAAGAACTTAATCATCTGAAGAATTAATGTGACAAGTGCCCACATTTACACCTCCCACCAACCTTCAATCATTTGAAACCGTACTTTAATCTTTTAAGAGAAAAAAATATTGCAAAATGCTACATCTGCAGTCCTGGAGCTTGGGTATTTCCGGCATGCTGCTTCACTGGAAACACGGCTGCTGTTAGACACACACACACACACACACACACACACACACACACACGCACACACACGCCCAGTTTTTTGCTGATTTGTTTTTTCTGGACATTGATGCAGAAGCATGAATTATTTGTGTGGGCTGGGTGAGGTATTAAATCTGCAGCCAACATAGGTTTGCAACGTTTTGCATGGTTCTCAGCTTAATCTTAGTCATAAAAAAATAAGCAGTGCGCTCGGCAGCATGGTCTAATTTTTCAGCTGGGCTCTTTTCTACCTGAGTTCCCAGCGGAGGGTAAGGCATGGCTTTGGGGGCTAGAAGGGAGAGGGGCTCTCGGGGAGCCACAGCTCATACCTGCTGGGGAATGCCAGGGGCATGAGGCCTAGGCTGTGCTCCAGGAGACAGAGTGGCTAACAGCTTAAGTTCTCTTCCAGTCTTACAGGACATTGGACTTAACTTCTAAGCTTTGGTATCCTCTTAACAAGAATAAATAACAATAGGTCATTAGGACTAAATGGGATGACTGAGATGAGGCATCTCATAGTGCCTGGGATGTAGTAGGTGCTCACAATATATCTGACAAGTGCATTAATTTGTTGACATTAGCTGGCTGCCTCTAAAAGTCTATCTGTTCCTCCCATAGGAATGTCAATGGCCTAACCAAAACTTGTTTGCCTGTATCCTGGGCCCAGAATCCAACTGCCTCTGTCCAGGTCAGCTCTCTGCTGAAAAAAGGTTGTTGCCTGGAGTTTGGGAAAGGGTACTTCTGAGATGGGGCTTGAAAGGGCTCCCGACTCCTTGAGTGGACCCTTGCAGGCTTTGTTCAACCACTGGTGCTCTGGGAAGGCCCTCCTGTAGCCCAACAAAAACCCTGAGGCCTTTGCTCCACTGAGGGAGGTGCTGCCAGGGCTCTCTTCCTTCTATAGAGCACAAGCTGCCTTACTGCAGTTCTCAAACCCCTGTTCTTCAAGTCGCCCGGAGTGAGATGAATTCATCTTCACATAACAGCCTTTCCAATCCCTAAGGCTGCTCTCATATCCCACGAAAAAAAAATTTTTTTTTTTGAGACAGAGTCTCTGTCTCCTAGGCTGGAGTGCACTGGTGTGATCTTAGCTCACTGCAACCTCCACCTGCTGGGTTCAAGCAATTCTCTACCTCAGCCTCCTGAGTAGCTGGGATTAGAGGCACCTGCCACCATGCCTGGCTAATTTTTGTATTTTTAGTAGAGAAAGGGTTTCGCCATCTCGGCCAGGCTGGTCTTGAACTCCTGACCTCATGGTCCTCTTGCCTCGGCCTCCCAAAATGCTGGGATTACAGGCATGAGCCACTGCACCTGGCTTTTTTTTTTGAGACGGAATTTCACTGTTACCCAGGCTGCAGTACAGTGGCATGATCTCGGCTCACTGCAACTTCTGCCTCCTGGGTTCAAGAGATTGTCCTGAATCAGCCTCCTGAGTAGCTGAGATTACAGGTGCCCACCACCACGCCCAGCTAATTTTTGTATTTTTAGTAGTTACTGGGTTTTGCAATGTTGACCAGTCTGGTCTCAAACTCCTGACCTCAAGTGATCCACCTGCCTTGGCCTCCCAAAGTGCTGGGATTACAGGTGTGAGCCACCACATGAGGCCCCAAGTTTCTTTTTCTACTATCTGTGGCCCTAACTTTTAACTGGATTCTTGACAATGTTCTGAAATCCTCCATCCATTCAAGTCACCTCCCCTGGGACCCTGGGCTCATTCTAACTTGTCAAGGTTTGAGTGTCCCGTTTAGAAGTGAAGTGTTATGTGTGGCAATAAACATAGTATGTGACCTAACCAGTGCAGATCACAAAGGGACTATAATCTCTCTTGTTTGGGACATTTTATGTCTATTAAAACTGTCATCAAATTATCTATTCTTTGTAACCTCCTTATACTACCAGCTCACACTGCACTCCCTCTGTCAACGAAATCTCCCTCAGGCTTTCTCCCATGGGCTACCCTTGGACCTATTCTCCCCCATCTAGTATGTCCGGTTGATTACATGGTGCTAAGAGCAGACCTCTGCACTGTCTGGCTAGTGTTTCGGCAGTTTGGGTATTTCTGAAACCTGAATCTGGCATCCATCATATTGGCATTGCTTCCTGACTTCACATCACTGACAAAACTGATAAATTTGTCATCGATGTTCTCATCCAACGCTTTGATTAAACAGTAAACAGGACAGGGCTAGGCAGACAGGCTGACATCATTACTTTTTGGTTATGCTCATCCAACTGGTTATAAACCAAGCCAACCTTCCCATTGCCACGGCCCTCACCCTCCTGGATG